TTTTTTTTTTTTTTTGTGAAAGACATATTATAAAATTTTAATATATATATATATATATATATATATATGTATATATATATGTATATAAACATCATATAAATAAGCCTTTATATATAAATTAAATTATTAATAAATAGTATATATAAGAGTCTATAATTATAAAAAAAAAAAAAAAAACATTATATACTTAGATCATAAACTATTAATCTAAAGAAGAAAGTAGTGTTTTATAAAATTATTCATAGCTTAATTATTCGGTATTGTTCAAATAATTTTTAATTAAAAAATAATTTTAAATGTTCAAACGCTCTCCTAATGTTCAATATTATTGTTTTTAATAATTAGTATGGAATTACTATTATATTTATATTAATATAACTCAATGATATCGATGATAAGTATTTTCAATAATTGACCGAGAATACATTAATTTTCTTTGTTGAAAATTGAAAATCTGTATATATAGTGAAAATAAATCTGTCGATGTCTTTGATTTTTCAATCTATAAATACATAAAATATGTGAAAATCAATTTTCTTATAACTCAAATAGTAATAATGTTTCTAAATAGTTAACAGATTTTAGTTACAACTTGACAAAGGTGTTGGTGAAATCATTAATTATCATATTTTGATATTTAATTATTTTAAATCCAATTACCGCCATATCTAAATACAAAACAATTTGTTTTATAGAAAATTAATACTAAACATTAAGTTATAATCTTTGTAATTATAATGCATAATCCAATTTTTTAGTATTATTTCAATGCCAAATATAAGTCGCTTATACAAAAAAAAACTTAACACATTAACAATTAATTTTGCTTTAGTGCTATTTAGTACACAATTATTAAATTTAATAAGAAATATATAAAAATTACAAAACTTAAGAAACCAAAATTATTATTTACGTAAAAAGACGCTGTCAACGTATTATTCAAATAAATTTTGCTAATTTTATCAAAAAAAGTTCGGTACATATATGTCATTACTAAAATGTTGCGGTATGAGAATGTTTTTACAAATTCATAATTATAGATATAGAATAATTTAAAAAACTCAAACATCCATTGTTAATAGCGAATACAAAATATATAGTTTTTGGTTTTAATTATAATACATGTGGCCTAACATGTGTTAATAATTTAATTATTTTTATGTTTATCAAATATGAAAATAATTATTATCTTTCAAATACAAGATCGTATGAAATTCTTATCATTAAATATTTATTAAAAAAAGTATCGAAATTATTTTAACTATACCATTTGATTTTTTGTCAAATATTTATTTAAATATTGAATAGCTTATAAGATTTAGTAATTTTAGATTTTTTATTTAAGATATTTATTAAAGAAAAATTTCTTTTACTGAATAATGACGAATGTTTTCATGTTAAAATTAAACATTCTATCGAGTATATATAATACTTTTACCTAAATAAGATTTATTCATTTATATTATTATTATTATTATTGTTATTATTATTATTATTATTATTATTATTTTATACGAATGAAAACAGCAATATAAAATATTTAAATTACTTACGAATATATCGAATGCGTAAATTTTCAAGGCCCTTATGTCGTTGGCTAATTATACTCGATATATATTAATATTAGTAAGATAATTCGAAAAATGTGATAATTATGTTTTAAACATATTCTTTACTTCTTCAAATAGTACTGATTATAAATTAGAACTTATATTATATTCATAATCATTGATTAATCTTTTTTTTTTCTTTTTTTTTTATAGAATATTGTTGTGATAAAGTGATGAGAACAATTGTTCACCAAAGTATACAAGCACATACCCATAGAATAATAATATTAGCTATTTATAATCACGTACAAATGCATTTCAATTATACTTATTGCCACGCGATATTACAAATAAACAAATAAATTCAACTTTTACTGTTAATTCTTTAGAATTAAAGTGTTTAATAATATCGATATTTTGTAAATATTTTCTTGACGGAGATGATAGTTTCTTCTTTTTTTTTACAATTTCTCAATTTCTCCTTGGTTGTGTCAAAAAAAAAAAAAAAAAAAAAAAAAAAAAAAAAACTATAATCATTGTTCTCTCCCAAATAATTTATATACATAAGCCAAATATTAATTATACTGACAGTTCGGATGCTTTTATTTTTAATACAATTACAATAGTTGTCATATGTCATGTTTATTCCATAATGAGGTTTTGATTCGAATACTCGCACTCGTGCCTCGGTATAACAACATCTGTCTGGGATTAAAATAGTTGTTCCGTTGCCGTCGCATCGACCAATTAGATTCTACAAGTAATAGTACTAGTCAGACCAATTTGCCTACGTATTATTTTATTCAAATTTATTCAATTTCCGTACATATCATTTCTCTCTTTTTTTTCTTTTTCTATTTGTTTCATAAATAATTATTTATCATTTTGTTTTGTTGTTGCACATTTCATCACTCACATTTGACTTCTTTTGTTTGTTTTTAATTAATTTCCTACCAATTTCCTACCAATTTCCTACCAATAGAGGTAATAATAATAATAATAATAATAATAATAATAATAATAATAATAATAATAATAATAATAATAGTAATAATAGTAATAATAATAATGATGATAATGATAATGATAATGATAATGATAACAATAATAATAGTTATTATATATATAACAACAACAACAACAACAACAACAACGACAACGACAATAATAATAATAATAATAATAATAATAATAAACTTTAATAATCTTTCAATCATTAACGTGTTATTATTTAAAATATTGATACAACAATTCGTACATAATAAAACGAAGAATTGGTAAAAATATCGTCATAAAATAATATTTTAAAATGAAATTCAGCATATTTTACCTAATGCCCCTTGGCTCGAAAGATCATAATAGCAGATAATAATAACAATTAATTGCATATAAAATTTATTTACTTTTATTAACGCGAATAAATAATTGAAAGTGAATGTCCACCAAAAGCCTAGAGACAGAGTACTTTAAAAAGGGATAGAATAATTTATCTACCGATGCGAAAAGACGGCCTTGATTTAAAGAAAAATATGTATACATAGAACCATGAGATGGTAAAGATTGACAGCTTTGAAGTAGACTGGGCGTTATTCTATTTAATTTTTCCCATCCGCATTTGCCCGCCACACATAAGAAAGCCGTCGCTCACCCATTAATTCACCCTAGTTAAGTCTTCACCCCAGGAGTACATAATAATATCCCTATAGAACAGGTAGTACCATATGTCAACCTCGTGTTCGACGGCTTATTGTCATTTTATCGCGAGTAGTGTCAACTAGTGTCAAGCAGTTAGCCACTCTGTCGTTCAATGAGCGGAAAACTCATCTATATCGAGATGAGCAGTGCAAAATACTCATACGCATGATCGTGACTCTCTTTCATCGTAGATTTATATCTTTCATAAATCAACACTTGGCTATTATCAATCGATTATCGACCTTTCGTATAAGAACATATTTTATCGTAATAATACATCAAACTGTTATCTATTGGTATTTTATTTTTTAAAAACATTTGTCAATATGCTACATTAAATAAGACATTTGTGTAAAATTTATTCGAGTTCTTAAATATCCTAATGATTGTTGTCATTATAAAATTCAATTTTTTAAAAAAGAAATTATTATAGCTGATATAATATACAGAGAGTATAGAATGCATGATTAGTCAGGGACTTTAGATAGACGTAATATATATATATATATATATATATATATGTTATGATAAGGATAGAACTAATAATATTTGAATGCAAAAATTTAAGAAGCCACTAGAGGGACGACATTTGGAAAGTTACCAACAAGATTATTTAATCTCGGCACGTTCTCCCTATTAGAAGGCAGTAATCGATACTTTTAAGAGAATATAATATTGTCTGAGCAATCAAAGTCTCGTTTGTCGAATGCATAAGCACAAAACCGCTGGCCCTTATAGGAGAAGAGAATAAAGTGTCCGGGATATTATGATCTATACTGACCGACAGCTGATGTAGCCCCGACGCTGTTCCTTCCCGGAGTGGCTGTCGGTGTCGGAGGACTGGCCTCTAAGGCCTGGTGTACCCCATAAATTCCAAAGTCCTGCTCATTAGAGCTCGCGCTGCTACATTTGCGTTTCTCCTGGTTATGATTATGATTGAGGTGAAAGGCCTCGTTCTCCATTAGGTTGACGCCCAGTAGGCCAAGGTTCGGCCTGAGCTCGTCCATGAGCTTGTTTTGACCGCAATTTGCCGCGGCCGCTGCTGAGAAGTTCAGCTGCCTGCTGAAGATGGCCGGGAAGATGTTGAACTGTTGGTGCTCGAGGCTGAGCGCGGCCGTGGATAGCGTAGAGGCCGAGGGTCCTCCACCGCCCGCGCTCCCGGTCCCGCCGGACCCACCACCGGCGGAACCCCCGCCCCCGCCGACGGAGCCGCCGACGCCGCCGACCGGGCCCGCACCGCCTGATAAGTCGTTAGCCAGGGTGAAGCCGTGTGCGCGCCGAACTCAGAGCCGCCGCCGCTTGCAGGCCATGCCCGCCCGCGCGACCACTCGACCTTGACCCAAGAGGCCCTGGACGCGATCGGCGACTCGCGTTTATTGGTACACAGGTCTGCGCGCGCTTCTTCCGTCGGTCGGACGATTTTCGCGCGAAGCTCGATCTGCAGGAACGATGTGATCTCGCGGAGTGGGAATAACAGCTAAGGGAAATATATATACATATATATAAATATATATATATATATATATATATATATATATATATATATATATATATATATATATATATATATATATATATATATTATAAATATACAAATATATATTTATGTATATATATATATATATATATATTTATACGTGCGCACGTATACGTATGCATATGTCTATATGTATATAAGAGTGCGTAAGTATGTGTACGTGTGTATATATCTGTATTGCGTGTGGTTACAGCTTGTTTTCCATTTACGTGGAAGTACGGGTTTAATGCTCGGCTGAAGTTTGCTTAGCGGAGCAAGGAGAAACGATGAGAGTGAGAGAGAGAGAGAGAGAGAGAGAGAGAGAGAGAAGTGTGGAAAAGAGGGAGAGAAGCGCGGGTCGTGTACCGCACGCCGCGAGTTCTTCTGGGATTCTGTCCGCGAAATGCAGTTATCCGGGTGACCCGGGGGCCACGGTGGGGCGCCTGTTGGTGTGCCGACCGCGGAGTCATCTTATTGGTAGCTGGGTCCAAGCGTTGCCCGGGTAACAGCCAATGGGGCGCCGCAGCCCGGGCGGCCCGCCAGCATGGCGCTCGCCCAATGGAAATTCCTACGGAAAGTGGCCTGCCAGTGCTTTTCCGCCTCGCCTCCGCCCCTCGCACGAGCTTTTTCACCTTTTTTCATCATCCCGCGGCAGATAGCTTTTTTAATTCTTTTTCCTTTTTGGGATTTGATTGTAACGTATACGAGCAACGCAACCCATGCCCTCGCCTCCCTCGCCCTCCATTCTCCGCCGACTGCGCCCTGATCTGGCAATGTGTTAATCTCTTGTCCACCTCCGGTTGTCGTCGCTCTCTTGATAAATGTATCAGTCGCTCGTTGGGATTTTTATAAACATTTGCCTGACCGCAAAATTGCCTGGCTGGACCATGGCTAGTGGCACTTTGTAAAGAATTACTCGCTGCGCATAAAGATCATTAACGATAAAGAAATACTCTATTTTACATTAAACTATATTCTCTGGCTTTTATATAAACATATGTTGACAAAGATTTCTAATCAGCTTGTGAGAACGAATACTTCAACTATCCACGACTAAGTCTTCGGTTCGCTACTTCTTTCCACGTATTTTCATGTATTTTCAAATACAATTTTCACGGAAATATTACCATAAAATTCTTGTAAAACCTGATTAATTTCATGACTATTATAGAATTTTGTTCAAACGTAGTCTTATCCTTCGTGAATTTACTGAATAAAATAATTGTTAATGAAATTATTTGTTAATAACGAGAAATGATATTGTTTTTTTAATGTTCGTTATGAAAACAAAATCATTAATTATTAGTGCAAGAACCTATAATGTTAAAAGTTCGTTTAAATTTACGTAACTTAATATAATGATAGCATTTTATAACAGAAAGCAATTCAAAAAATAAATATTGTTTTTCATAAATATTTGCGTAGAAATTTCTTTCAGAGCAAATTTTTCACAACTTTATTAAAAATAAAATTTAATCGAATATTCTTTATTATATAAAAATGTGTGTGTGTGTGTTGTGTGTGCGTTTGTGTGTATTTTTTTTATTTCATCCTTTTATTACAAACGACTATATATAAACCTTTATACTGGAATTCACAAATACATAGATACGCCCTCGCGCTGACAATGCATATATATACCTTAATCATATTTTTTGAATTAATACTTTTTCTTTTTGTAGTGTATTATTCAGGAATATGATTTTTATAAATTTTTTGAAGTTTGACTTAACTCTATTTCTTTTCAGTGATCTAACAATTAGCGTGGATAAATTTAAAAAATGTTGAATTTAAAAGAAAAAAAGGTACAATTAGTCATGTTTAATGTAAAGTAAAGGCCTGTCCTAGTAAAATATCAATCATAAGAGAAATTGAAATAATTGAGAGCAGCATTGACTTGGTCTTTTGCACAAATGTATGACACAAAGGTGTTTTATATGAAATCTATAGAATAAATCAGCAAAGACTTTTGGTTTTCATTCATTGATAAATAGAACGCCCATTACTTTATGGACACGTGCTGATGGATGCTAGTCCAACAATTTACTGGGACAAAGCAGACACTTGATGTTAAAAGACAGCCAATTCAAAACCAAAACAACTCTGTTGGGGTTTTGTATTTTGCCTAGAGTGGCAATTCATTACATTGATCATTTTTCTTTAAATAAGGCGTAACCATCTTTAAATTCATTTATTCCGATATAATATTATTGTATTACATTTAATTGAATGGGACAATGGCAGTATATATGTTTATTGTTAAAATTTAATATAATTTATTTATTGATAAATTTAAAGTAATGTTGTTAAATCGATTCATGCATGAGTCAATAAAAATGCAATACCTTTGAAAAGTTTGAAGAAAAACATTTAAAAAAATGTTATAATACGAGTGGCATCATACCAGATTTAAATAATTGTAGATAAAACTTTATTACTAAATCAGTAAATTGATTATAGCCAGCCATTCTTATAATCATATTTTGAAATTGTATGAAACAATATGAAAAAATAAAAAATAAAAAATATTCTTCATACATACACACACAAACACACGCGCGCGCGCGCGTATATGTTTATTAATTATTTATTTAATTATATGTGAAAGAAAGAATATAAGTAAATTCTATGAAACACTAATGTTTTTATTGTGTATGTAAACTTGTTAAAATATATATTATTTATTAGTTTATTTTTATAATTTTCATATTTTTATTAAATTTCGCGGTGAAAATATTGTCTGTGAATTACATTACAGTGAATTTTTCACTCTAGTCACTGTCACCGCTAGAAATTAAAATGAAATTGCAAAGTACGCAGAAAAAACGTTATCAATGACTCTTTATAAGCTTGATAATAATTTTCCGCGCCTTATTTATATATGCATTCACAAAATTAAATGCAATATTTATGTTAAGAATGAAATAAAAAATCATCATTAACAACAAAATTATATTGTGAAATATTGGTTAATGAAATTATTTGATTTACATTAAGAATGATAAAAAAAAATTTAAAAATTTTATTAAACTCCAAAGAATGATTGATATAAATTTTGTAGTTTCAAATTTATGAATATGGAATGTCTCATTTCATTTAAAACTTATATTTAAAATAATTTATTTTACGAAAAAATTTTTTCAGAATTTTCAAAAAAAAAAATTTGTCTTCAATTTTATATAACTATTGGCAAAATGAGAGAACGACAATTCGAAATTTTTCTTTTAATAATTAAATTTAATGTTAATTTAAATTATAAAAATATACATAATATTAAAGGAAGACTCTACTTACGAATTAAAAGCTGAGGAACTAAATAAACATTTTCAAAATTAATATATCATTTAAAAAATTCGGTACTAATATCTTGAGATGCCGTTTTAATAAATATTTAAAAATATGTTTCATTATCAATTTATTAAGCTTTTCCACCATCCTGCAATGTAATTTATTGTATTAATTCTAGAGATTTTCAAAGAATAGTCGATTAAGAATAAGAACGAACGAATGGAATTTACGTTTAAAGCAAAAACCATTCAAAATCTTAAGAAACATTCTAGCTTTTTTTTCCCTTACATTCTACCTCTTAAATGAGCTTATGAGATCATTTATCAATTTATCAATTGTTTTTCTTATAAACTATACCAATTAAATACTATCCGATAAAATGAATTAAACTATCGATATAATAATAAAAAATGAAAGTTATCAAAAAATTTGTTTATTTCAATAAGATAATATTATACACATATTAAAAAAAATAATAATAAATAAATAAATTAATTAATTGCCATTGTAATATGTATATTAAAGGAATTAACAACAAATTTTATCATTAGATATGAATTTTTAAATGCTTCGTTAAATTTTTAAATCTGTTTAATCGTATTTAAAATGTTTGGAATGATATTAAAGGTAATTGTTTAAATATTTTCGTAATTTTCACATATTTCATAACTATATATGATATTAATTTCTCATATTAAGTTACATAAACATATCTATATTAAATGTTGCATACTATAATCATTAAGCATAATTTTCTCTCCATATTCATTAATATCTTAAAATATCGAAATATGATATCTGTAATATCTAAAGCATGAATAGATCGGAATGTCAAATATAAAAAAAAAAAAAAAAGAAAAATTAAAAAAAAAAATTAAAAAAAAAAAGAAAAATAAATAAATAAATAAAAAACTTCTCAATAATCATAGAAACAAAACTATATAAATATCAATAATTATCAAAGTTATTGCTATTAATGAATCGATATGATTTCACAAAAATTCATATTTTCAGTTGATATATATGAAAAAAATAAACACGTTGCGTTTTGCGCATAAAATTTATATATTTATATTTAATTAACTTGACGTTCACTTGATTTAATATGCAATTGTGTTTTAAATATATTGATTTCGTTTCAGCTAAAATTGAAATTCAGAATTCAATTATTAATATTAAGCCTTATAAGTTAAGAAATATGCAATATTATATATAAATTTGATATATAATAATTTCCAATTAGAAGAACTTAAATTTTATGAATTCAATTGAAAGAAGCTTAATATTTAACTAAACGCTAAATTGTTTTTTTTTTTTTGTTTTTTTTTTTTGTTTACGAATGTCCTATAGACTGTTTTTATTTACGGTGTCCTAT